CATTGTCTTTAGTTTGGAGTTGCTGCTGCACTTCTTCAGCCGGATGGCCGCAATGGGTTTCAACACATTACACATCTAATAACTACTGAATATGTCACTAGAGTTTTGAAAATGTTTGAGTGAGTCTCGTTTTTTTTTTTTTAATTGAGATGTCATTTGTAATTGCTATTTTCTGCAGAGTAGATGGTTTTAACTGTAATAGATATGGTAGGCACTGACTCACCAGTTTAATATGTTTGTCATAGATTGAAGTGTTTTTTTCTGTATTTTTCTTGATAATACTTTATTGGTATTAAATGTGACTCTCCGATTGTTTCTCTCCTCCATCTTGTCCTTGAACATTAATTATTCAGAGGTTCACACTTTTGTCAAAACAAGTAAATACATTAAGACGCATCAGTGCTTTTGTTCTAGAGTACCAGTAGTCGTCATCATTGCGGCCCGCAGGAGGATATTTTGTGGTCCTCTACTTGACATCAAAGTTAAATGCCGGCCCCCACATTTTTGTTGGTGACTTGGTTTTGTTTTTTGAATTGTGTATGGATTACCATGGAGGCGGCCTGGTGATCCAGTGGTTAGCACGTCGAACTCACAGTGCAGAGGTCGTGGGTTCGATCCCGGCTCCGGCCTTCCTGTATCCAGCCTTGCATGTTCTCCCGGTGGCTATGTGGGTTTTCTCCGGGTACTCCGGTTTCCTCCCACATTCCAAAAACATGCAGGGCAGGCTGATTGAACACTCAAAATGGTCCCTAGGTGTGAGTGTGAGTGCAGATAGTTGTTCGTCTGTGTGTGCCCTGCGATTGGCTGGCAACCGGTTCAGGGTGGCCCCCGCCTACTGCCGGAAGACAGCTGGGAAAATGGATGGATGGATGGATGGATATAAATATATATATATATATATATATATATATATACACTTATTTACAGAAAAAAAACAATAATTACCAATATCTACTCATATGAGATACTTATATTGTGAAATACTGAAATACTTTTTGGCTGTATCGCCCAGCCTAATCTCTGGAGCACAGTATTACATTTCAGCATTACAAGCTTTACCCTTGTCTGTACTTGTAAACAAGTTCAGATGATATCAAATGTGAAAAGTGATCTCTCAGGCTCGTTGCCTTAGAATTTCATTCCTATCTGCAGATTTACAGCGGCGAGGACGGGGTGTTCCCGGAGTGCGCCCTCCGCAGCAGTGCGGGCTATGCAGCTGCCATGCATAGCGGCAAAACTTAGTGACCACTCGACCTCGTCTTGGTCGTTGTTGTGGTGGCGGTGGGACGGCTGACCGCGAGGAGGTGACGCAAAGGCCAAACATCCAAATGTCAGCGTTCCAAGACTCACTCGTTCTCTTTTTACAGTTGCCAGACTTCAAAGGAAATCACATGGGATCAACCTCCCATGCACTCCTACAACGCTGCTGAGTATTCTTGCTGCTGTTGACATTCACATCTGCATACATGGTATTTTCTTTTTAAAAAGAATGCTCATGTATGGTTGTCAATCCATTGCTGATTGTAGGGATTGATTTTCGCCATGCAAAACAGTGCTGACTATTCTTGCTGCTATTTATGTTCACTTCTGTACGTATAGTGCTAAATTTACATTATTTATGTACAGGTAACACATCCAATGTAGTTTATTATCCTATAAATGCATCTGTGCTATATATTTGTATGAAACAAAATGGGTAATCATTTTTGCAGTAATTAAATGTCTACAAATGCATGTAACCTCTGATTTTTTTTTGGATACTGTATGTGTGCATGTGTCATGAATGTTCCTTAAAACAATCTGGCACCAGTTGGGGGTGGTGAAGATTGTTTTAGGAGGGTACTCTGGTTTCCTCCCACATTCCAAACACATTCGTGGTAGGTTAATTGGACGCCTCAAATTGCCCCGAGGTGTGACTGGTTGTTGTTTGGCTACTAGTTCAGGTTGTACCCTGCCTACTTCCCGAAGTCTGATGGGATAGCCCCCAACAGACCCCCGACCTTCGTGATAGATAGATAGATAGATAGATAGATAGATAGATAGATAGATAGATAGATAGATAGATAGAAACATGGACATATAGAAACATGGACATAGTATGGCATTTTAAAAACATTTTAGGAGTGTGCCATTTTAATTATCCTACAAAACAATCTGGCACCCGTGTGATGACTGTTTTAGCAGGACTTTTACTATTCACCTGTCACCAGACATGGCACCCTTTTTGGGATAGTGTGTGTGTGTGTGTGTGTGTGCATGTTGACTCGTGAAACATGAACTGCCACACATAGACTCACACACACAAACATTCTGTAACGTGACAAGTGTTTTGTTTTCTATTGCAAACACACACACACATGCACACACACTTAGCATTTGTGCTAAGCTCACACCTAGCATTCGTGCTAAGGTCAATAATGTAGGAAAGGCCTCGAACGACACGCTCCACCGTGGCCGTCACCTGTCTCAAAGTGTTAACCTTTTCTGTTATCACACACACACACACACACACACACACACACACACACACACACACACACACACACACACACACACACGTCAATCGACCTCTGCCAAGGCCCAACGAAAGTTTGTGAGAAGATGGCTATGGAGGATGATGAACAGAACAGATTGCTGCATTACTACAATTTGAGTGGCTTATCTCTAGCCATTATGTTCATTGCTTTTGTAAGGTAGCAGTTCTCATTAACAGCTCAATGATGAACAAATGCATGACTGTAATTGTAATAGCGTGAGAACATTGTGTAATTCTGCTTTTTGTTTGCTTCTATTTACTCTTTCACTGTGCCAGCATAAATGCTGTAAAAACTTGTTCATAGGCAGCACCTATCAAGATCATCAAAGTATTCATGCCAAAATTTCACCCTAGAAATGAACATATTTGTTTTGAGTTGCTTGCTCATGTTTAGCTGAGCACGCGTGAAAAACACAGGTTGTATTTTTATTTTTTACCTAAAACAGAAAATTGAGCTGGAAAAATTGTAAATGGCAACAATGTTAGCACAACAAAGCAAGCGAGTTGTTTTTATTTATACCTTTAAGGGTCATTCTGTCAACTCTTCTTTTCTTTGTTGTGATATGCCAGAACGCCAATTTTCACAACAGTAAAAGTTAAAACATTTAGTTGAACAGCTCAACTTAAAATGTTATCAGGTTTGTTGAAACCCAACAGGTTGTTTTTACATTGTAGTATTTAATAGTGCAGATCATACTAAGGGAGGACAAAACTATCAAATTATGATTATTAAAAAAACAGTAATCTCTGGTCCAGTAGGTGGCGATACCTTGCATTTAAAGAAGATACAAAAGTTACGTGTTAACTGGAGATGAAGTTCATCCAGATAATAAAAGCACTGCTCCCAAACATTCCAGTGTTGGTTCAGGCATGCCTACTGGAAAACGTGATCAGCAAATTGATGATTCACATTTAGAGGAATGAGAAATGGGGAAGGAGTGGAGCTAGCTAGACCCACACAATGGGAAAAGGCAAGTCAAATCAAGTTTATTTATGTAGCCCTGAATTGTACAAGTCAAAGACTCTCTGGGAATGTTTTTAATGTCTTCTATTGGGATCACAACCCAGTAAAGAATCCGTGTATGCTGTATACTAGTGACTCATTCCGGCATCCACACGTAGAAGCACATGTGTGAGCCATGTGCCATACTGTAGATCCCTTTTGAAGACCCCCACCTCCTACCCTCCACACAATCATACCCATTACTCCTTTAGAAGTCTTTACTAGAAATGTGCCCCCAGAATTTCAGCTTCAAACAAAAGTAGCCTGCTCAAATCAGGGTATGGGTCCTTGAGATGTTTTTCTGCATCCTGTCATAAGAGACATGTCCACACAATCTCACGTCCATCAGTAAAACTAGTGTCAGGGGATGATACCCCCCGTAACTTTCCAAGTTTTTTTTTACTTGGTGAATTTTGGTGTCTCGTTATTGAGACCCCAAAAATACATCCAAGATCCCTAGGATACACACAAATCAGATCGCTTCGGCAACAAAAGCTTTACCATTTGCTGTAGTATGAGAGCTGTCTAGGATACCTGCTTCAGATTTGGGCTTATTTGAGGTGAATTCACTGGAAGGAGTTGTCGTTTCAAACCAAAATGACCGACTTCCTTTTTAATTTCGAGAATAGGTCTAAGAGACTTTTTGTGTCTCCTGTTATGATAGACTTATTCACCCAATTTTGTGTTTGTTGGTGAAATTGGTTGCAGGGGCAATTATTTTTTCAACTATGGAGCCCTGAAATTCCTCTGAAATTGCCTCTTCAAACCACCTCCTGTCCAAACCAAAATGGCTGAGTTCCTGTTCATTTCCACACAGTGGTCCGTGAGACTTTTACAAGCATCTTGCCATGGAAGACATGGCCACCCAATGTAGCGTCAATTGGTGGAATTCACCCAAAATGTCCTCTTCAAAACCCAAATGACTGACTTCCTGTTGAATTTGGGGCATTGTTTTTGAGACTTTTGTCCTGTTATGATGGACATGTACACTGATATTTGTGTCCAACTGTCCATCAGTGTAACTGGTATCAGGGACTGCAGTTTTTTTTTCCTTCCAAAGTTTTCCAGTGCTTTCCACCGAGTGACCTTTGGGGGATGCTGTTTGGGAAGCCTAAAATACATCACTTTTCACCAGGTTGCAAGCAAACATTTTCAACGTTGAATTTGTCCGTCAAATAATAAGAATCAAAATGGATATTGCGTCTACTGTAGTATGGCTCAGTAATCACGTTCCTCTTTGGGGGAGGTGATCTCCTCTCGCTCTAATTAGTGTCGTTGGCGTTTGTTTTCATTTGGGATAATCTAGCCACCGTGACTGATATATTTGTGTTGAGTGTATATGCAAGTGTGTGTTCGTGTACGTGTGCCAGTGAGCGTGATCCTTGTGTAAACAGAAGCGCCCCCGCAGGCCGCAAGCGTCACTGCACCTCTCCTTCTATTACTCTGCCGCCTGGCTTCGCGGCGCCTCATTCACTAGAAGATGGCGGACTGCGCTCCACTATTAGATGAGGAACTCTCGTCCTTCGTCTTCAATTACCTGACTGAGAACCCCGACAGCCAGGTAAGACCCCCGGGCGATGTGTGTGAGGGTCTTGGCCAGGCTCTCCCCTTGGCTTTTTTCTTCGTCTTGGTTCGTCTCCACGAGCACCATCACACCACCGGTGTTCGGAGCGGCGAGAGGCCGGCTAGAGGGAGCCTTTTGCCGGCTTGTCAGCAGCAGGTCGCCGGCTCAGTGTCCCGCGGCGTCTTGACTTGCGGCGTTCACGTGGAGGGGGAATATGTCATCATCTTCGGTTCGGAGGATTCGCGGCGGATCAATGAGTGGTTTTACGCGGTGGGGGTGTGCGTGAGGCCCCCCTCCCGCTCTGCAGCTGGGGCACTGCGGAGCTGCACTGACTTTGGAAACTTTTTGACGCATTTTCCACGGGGCGAGTTAGCTGTCAGTGTACCCGGCGTTAACACGTGGTGGTACCGCCAACGCGTGCACCGAGACCCCGGCAGGGGGCTCGATGTCCTTCAGCCCATCCGAAAGACTTTTTAAGCGTCATTTTAAGTCAATACAACACACCTATTTGTATATTTGATTGCATGTTTTTGTTGTTGAATCAATACAGCTCGTACTTGTGAGAAGCTGTTGCGTTGACGGTCCGAGGAGGCAATTCTCTGCTTTTCTGCAGAATGCCCGCTGCGCCTCCACGTTGGGCCAAGTCTCACGGTGCTGCGTGGCCGGGTTGGCCTTACGGATGTGACGAGAACTTTATTTCGCTTTTATAGTAGAAATTGGCGTAGTTCTTGTTTTGTTTTGCGTTTTTTTTGTTTGCGTAATTGTTTGCGTAATAGCTTGTTACAAAACGTGTGACTGTCGCTCTTCATTCTTTATGCTATATACTGGCTATATGTGTGTGCAGTGTTGCCCTAACGTAATAAAATCACCTTTTACGCCGATTGTCAAGGTGCGTTTGTGCACCTTGCGCTGAAGTGCAACTTTTACAAACTGAGACGTGGCACACAAATCACACCTCTGATAGGACAATGCTGTGCGGCGATGTGTTCGGGAGGCCATCCTCTGCGGTTTGGATGTCACGCGTTGCGCAGAAACGTGCGAGGGAGAGGAGGAAAACCGAAGCAAATCGTAAATTCGTTTTTTTTTCACGGACGAAGCTCCGGAAGCGGGTGGCGTATGACAGGACAGAGCGGCTAGGGATCAAGGCTCTAATCCCTCATCTTGCTCCTGGATGGATGCCGCGCTTCCCAAACACGCACAAACATGCTTACTTTGACCCCCGAGTCCCACCCAACCTCCATCTCATCCTTCTCCAGGATGCACCCCTACCCACCCACCCACCTGTCTTCCTTCCCTTATACTGTTTGCCACTGCATCACTGCTGTGTGACATTGGTGACTGCATCATGTGTTCAGGCAGATTGGCACTTCAAGAAGGTTAAGTGTGTGTTTGTGAGTGTGCATGCAGTGGTCTATTTATAACACGCTGTATTAACCTTTACATTGCATTGCATTTTGATCCCCCCCCCAACACACATACACCTTTTGGTTGATATAGTATGACCTTGCTCCTAATATACAGGCCTTTCGACTACGTTGTTACGTTCCCATGAGGAATAACAAGCGTGACCAGTCCATGTGTCAACTTCCAAATGAGCTCGACATTCATGTAACGTTGCAGCAGGCCTAAACAATTATTTGAAATGTGATTATGATTATATGTATGCGTCCAAATTACAGGAATAGCAAGTGTCTGCTTTGAATCTTATCTTTTGCGTTAATATTTACACTGGGTTATTAAACGGTGCTCTCTCTCTCTCTCTCTCTCTCTCTCTCTCTCTCTCTCTCTCTCTCTCTCTCTCTCTGTAAAACTCTCCCCCCTGCCACTTTGTGCCTATTTTGCTCACCCCCCTTGTAATACTACTCCTCGTGATGTGTTACAGAACCGAGCTGCTGCAGTCATGTGAGTTGTAGTGGAGGAGGGAGGCAGGAAGGGAGGCGTCAACGTGACGTAGTCGGTGGCGCGCCTCCTCCTCGCCCTCCTCCTCTTTTTCCCTCCAGCATGTGACTCTTCTCTCTCTGGGCTGGCTGGCTGAAATTCCCCTTGTTGCACATTCACACACTCTGTTTTATTTCTTTTTTCCCATATTGAGCTACGTTTGTCGCAGCTGGTAAGGTTTCGAAGGGGATGCATAATATGGAAAATTGACTTTAATGTTTGTCCATTGATAGTTGTGTCTGGAGTGAATGCCCACCCATCATATGTGAAATTAAACAACCAAATACAGTTTGGATAAAAAGCCTCCTGCAAACAGTGAAAATATGCAGTAATTATTGGAGTGATCTGGCAAAATAGATTTTTCATTGGTCATCAACAATACCAACACAAAATATGTGTGTAGGTGCAGGTATTTATTTTTCCCCCTGGGATCACCTTCCTTACATACTGCACTGTAGTATCTGTGATTATGAATATGTGTGGCTTTTAAAAATCACGATCTGGCATGGTGAGTGATGTGGGAGTCAGTGAATGAGCATACAGCTGGCTGTTAACTGGCAAACCAATAGCCAGTTAGCACGTTGAGTCCCCGGGTGTCAGTTGTGGCTTTGTGTGCTCGTGTAGGAATGTGCTTGTAACATGTTTCAGTTTTTTTGATACTGTTAGCTCAATAAAGTCATTTAAAGTGCACTGGTGGCTGTGACTATCCTTGACCACCTGTGGTACAAGACATTGCATTCTAAATAGTGGTGGTAGGCTGTAGCGTAGATGTGCTGATGTGTCAGCCATTTGTGGTTTGCTATCGACACATTGCCCTTTATCTTTTAAAATATAATATTCCATGATTATTTGATTAATTGATGGAATAATCAATGCGACAATTTGTTTTTAAAAACAGCTTTGTATGTATTTTGTTTCATTATAGGAGTTAATTCAATTCAATTTATATTGCGTCAATTCCAAATACAATTTATAGTAAGACACTATTCCCATCAAGCAGATCAAGATCCACACTCCTAATACTTTGCCAGTTATTCATGAAAACCACCAGGACACGCAATAGAAATAAACAGAATGACCTGGAAATAATCCATACATTCAATCCTCACGAGGGTCGCGGGGGGTGCTGGAGCCTATCCCAGCTGTCTTCGGGCAGTAGGCGGCGGACACCCTGGACCGGTTGCCAGCCAATTGCAGGGAAATAATCCATTGACTCAGAAATAGTCCACAACAAGGTCAGTCACAATGTAATTCATGCAAGGGCTCCCCTTGCCAGTTATTCATGCTTACCGCTACGTTGCCCTGTACAAATAGTCACACAGAGTTACTTCCCGTCTACAAAGACATTTTAAGGTGACTTGTAATTCAAACTCGCGACCATTAAATGAACATAAAATGACTTTCCATAGATTAAAAACAAGAAAAAAAACATAGAGGGAAGTCGGAATAATTGGAAAACTTTGCTTAGCCGATGGCGACAAACGACTTGCACGTTTTAAGACGACCAATCAAGCGCTGCACAACCTTCATTTGCCAACTCTCAAACCACAAGTTGCAAATGGAAAAGTTAATAAAGCTTAAAGTCATTTCACCGGAGCCCCCATGCACTATGCTCTCCCACGCACTGTGAGTCAGCAAAATAATTGATGTGTGCGTATCATGTGACCATCTCAAATGTCAGTCCCTCACTGAGCACATTTATCCTGATGCTGCAGGTGCAACCAGTCACCATTAAAATATTCCTGCTGCTTAAAGTCAGAGTAGCAACTATAGTCACAATATTCGGAGTGTACTACAGTATTTGCAGTTTGTACTTCTTTGTATTAAATGAATTCTGTTTCCACCAGGAAGCAGAGTTTGATTATTATTATATATTTTTTTGTGCGTGAGAATCTAGTTTAGGTACCAAGATAAATGATGCATAACAATTTTTAGCGCCACTTAGTTTGGGTGGGGTTGGTCTTGGTGGTTAGCGTTAGAGGATGATGATTGGGTTCGTGGGTGATGGTTAGAGTTTTAGGGCGTAACGTACCATGTCCCGACACTTGATAATTGTCTCCTAATTCGAAAATAACATCTAGAAAATATGATGAAAATGTGTCTTGCTGTCACCATACACTGTTCAAAAAGACAAACTTCTTAAGTATGGCATTAATTTCACTTACATACTTTTTTGAGAAATAACTCATCAGTAGTGACATGTTTATATGCTAGTGCATGTTTTTGGAACAGTCTTGTGACGCATTTCACTTGACTGTAGCTTTTTCACGAGGCATTTCAGTTATGCAGTGTCCCAGTTAGAACACTAGTGGGCACTATGTAAAAGGAGCCTGGTCTCTATCACATCACAATCGCGTTGAAAAAAAAAAACTTTTTTTTAAACCAAAAATTATTTAATAAGCATGGACATAATGCCATCATGAAAACGAGGGTTGCACCCCGCCACCCCTCCCAAATAAAATAAAAGAAATACATATTTTAAAATATATTGTAAAAAAATAAAAAAAATGGTGAGTAGGGCAATCCAAGTATGCATGGTTCTACTGTTCACACAGTAGCTAAGAGCAGAGGAAGAATGTTGAGTCTGGTGGATAAACAAGTAGAAATACAGATGCCGTGTTAGTCTGTGTCAGGGAGTACAAACACATATAAGACTGCTTCTTGTAAAGTAATCAATGAAACTTTGACAGGACAATGGAATTAATACTTCATCTGATATTATCACACTGTCGCTGACTTCTCTGTCCACGACGTGCCACGCTGCAGCAAATTGTTGATGGGAGCGTAACTGGCTCGGCCGCAATCGGCTGACGATGGGGCTTGAGAAAGTCTGTGTTCACCAGTGGCCCGTTGACACCCTCCGGGGGCTGACGGCCTCTATCACCGCCTGAGAGGACTTCATCATCCATTCTGCTGAGCATAATTTGCTAACAAAATGTTGTCATCCATCTAAACCTGTGTTTCCACACGGCTGACATGGCTCCTGCTCCATCTGTCTGGAAGGTATGCTACATGTCAAGAGGTATTGGTGTGTTTGTGCTGGAGCTTGATTTCGATTC